ATGTCCGAAATCGGCTATGACTTCTTAAGTATTAAAAAACGAGTCTGACAAAAAACGAGGTTATTTTAGATCATTTGATGCAGTTTGAAGACAAGACTTGGTTGGGTAGACATCTATATCACACATGGGACACTTGACCTGTCACGTAATGACCTCAAAAATTGTTTTGTTAAATAGATGTGGATTTTTTTAAAATTTGTGATTTGATTTTTCTAAACTTTTTCATTTTTTCATGAAAAAATATTTTGTAACATAAATATATTCATGATATGATAAATATAATTGTAAATAATCTAACCATTACTGCCCAGTCTCCTCACACTTTCAAAATGGCGGCGTCCATGTGTTGAAGGTAAGCTCGATTCTTCTCTATAATAACTGCCTGTTATAAAGGCATTTTGCTTTATATTATACGAGTGGGGCATGAAACAGTACATAAATCGTCAAGTTAAAAGAAACTTCTCAAATCACATCGTTTGCCTAACGTTTTGTGTGTTCTTTTTGTATTGTATTTCGAGTCACGATCGCCCACCATTTTAAACAACCATATCTATCCAAAAAAATACTTTATCATTTCCTTATTGAAATAAAGGCTTTTAAGTTCTTTAAGTTCTTATATAATGCTGCTGTGAGTAGGTTGAATTAATTCTACAAAAGCAGAAAATAAATATAAATAATGATTGCATTGAAAAGCACACTAGTGTATGAACTCTTGAAGGAGATAAATCACTCTGAAACTTTAGTATATTAAATGTACCTAGTTTTCTTTCTGTATTGTTTTAACTTTGGCCGTTTATATACAGTTTAATATGTCAGAGAATCAAAGCCTATCTGTCGATTGGGATTCCTGTGTACTTTGTCAGGAGAAAACAAACGAGTCTTTACAGTGTCCGGCTAATTCTAAGATGAGCGATGTTGGTGATGGGACCGGAATAGAAAGTACTCTTATGAAGAATAAAGCATCATGGCATAAATCCTGTAGAAATAAGTTGAATAACACTGAACTTAAAAGAGCTAAAAAACGCAAGTTGCATAGTGAAGAAGAGAAAGAATCAGCCCACAGTCCAGTAAAAGCTCGGAGGTCAAGTGCATCCAATACGAAAAGTGTTTATGTGCTTCTTCTGCGAATCAAATGAGAATGCATCAAGTTTTCAACTCTGCATCGACAACGGGAATTGACGAACGAGTCCGCGAGTGCGCAATAGAATTACAGGATGGAAAAGAAAAAACTCTTGGCAAAGCTAGCTGTTGGGGATATGGTTGCTTTAGAGGCGAAATACCACCTGAATTGTCTTAATGCGCTGTATAATCGAAGAAGGCAAGCAATGATAACATTGGATAATTCTGAAAATAAAAAGCTGCAAGGACTTGCTTTTGCCCATCTAGTATCTTATATTGATGAATTTTTCGAAGACAGCAACGCCAATATCCCAGTTCTCAAATTAGCTGATCTTGCAAAACTATACACAGCAAAAGTGCAGGAATTAGAAGGAGTAACAAGTCGAGTGAACGCTGCAAGACTGAAAGAGAGAATTCTTCAAGCATTTCCAAGAATCTCAGCTCACTCACAGGGAAGAGATATTTTATTTGTTTAAGATCGTACCATTGGAAATGTCATAAAGGATGTGAACAACCAAGATATCGATGCAGATGGCATGCATCTAGCAAAAGCAGCCAAAATGGTACGCAAGGAAATCCTCAAACACCCTCAGTCTTTCAACGGAACGTTTCCCCAAGACTGTGAAGATAGTTCTATCCCACCATCTCTGAAAGCTCTCACAAGTATGATACTGAAAGGTCCATGTTCAGAACAAAAAGAAACTGACAAAATGCACAAAAGCCAAGCCACATGTCGTAGATGGATCTTCCCAACGCGAGAAAAAAATGGCATCATTGCCATTACAATTTTCTGATGTACAACCATTATATCTTCCAAATGAGGATTTTTTTGTTCCACCACTTACAGAGTGACACGGAGAGCAGTATAAACAAAGAGGAAAAACAATGGCTTGTTAACGTCTCGGCTCTTTACGAAAAAGAGAACCTAGATACATGTGATAACATTTCATGGGCGGCATTTCACGCATCCAAACAGTCTCCAACAGAGCATGAACCCGCTGTTACCTCTTTGATGCCGATGTTCCAGGAGTCTGCACACTCAGCACCTATGGTCCGGCATGGTATGGATATAGTCCGCTCTGCAGTACAGCTTGTTAACCCTGGACAAGTCCCTGTCATTGCAATGGATCAACCTCTTTTTGCCCTTGGAAAACAAATTCAGTGGAAGTGGCCGCAAGCATATGATGAAGACAAGTTTGCTATCATGTTTGATGGATTACATATTGAGCTGGCTACATTGAGAGCGCTTGGAAAATGGCTAGACAGAAGTGGATGGACTGATCCACGTACCAGAGCTTTTCCTATTTTAACGTAGTCACCAGTGAGATCTCTTACCCACGGTTTGCTTCTACTCGGATATTTGATAGCAACTGACATCTTTGTTTCCGATGGTACGGGTGGATCGGGCGAAGATGTTCTATAAGTGTTAGTGTAGTTATTTCTTCTGCATGTAGAGGATCTACGTGTTGTTTTGTAGGCGTAGAAGTTTCGAATACGAGCGTTTTGGCTACTGGGTAATCTTACAATGTTACAGTAATTATATAATCATTTAAATTTGGTAACTTTTGTTTGCCCCTTGATAAGTATATAACATACTTCCATAATAGCAGAAGGAAGTATTGAAGTATCATTGGTGAAACCTAGGAGGATGTTTTCAATACTTACATACATTTGCATTGTTTAGCCATGCTTGCACATCTGCATAAAAACGTTTTGTGATTTTGCAATCAAGAAACAGGTGAGCAATAGACTCATTCTCCTTATTACATAGGCTGCATTTTGGTGATTCAGTTATCTTGATGAAGTGCAATTTTCATTTAAATATAGACAGTTGTTAAGAATTTTGTATTGAAAAGCACGTAATTTAACATCTATTGTACTTTCGTAAATTTTAGAATAAACAGAAGCCCACTCAATGTATATGTTTCCTATTGCTTTTGTAATATTTTTCTGTGATGTAGGAAGTTTTTAGTTTTTTTGAAATGAGCTGCCAATACAAGAACTTTGAAGTTATTTTTTCTGTGGGGTGCAAATTACCCGAAAACTCCAGAAACTTTTTCTTTGCTAATTTACCTTCTCTATTTTGTTAGGAATTTCTTAACATTTCTCTCCATTCTTTTGGGATTGCATCTAAAATACTTCTCCAAACTAGATATTTATCATTCGACCATCCTAGTTTTTTCGCCTCTTCCCAATTCGGCTTATCATCCCCCCAGACCTGACTTCACTCCAGGCTTTTCCGATTTCCTCATAGAACTTTGGTAATAGATTTTTCTCTGGCAACCACTGCAAACAATCGAAATGTTCACACCATATAGATGTCTTGAAGGGCTTTAAATAGATGTTCGAGACGGCTTTCCAATACTCTTGTTCGCCGCTATTCAACATTTTGAGTGCCCACATTACTCTATATGCTTTTATAATCATTTCCAAATCTGGGAGCTTTTAAGCTAAAAATTAAAATACCCCCTTGTGAATAATCACTAATCAAAGTTGAAATGAAATTTGTAATTTCTTTATCTATTTTTGCAATATAGATATCAGGACAGTGCATGTTACCAAAAACAAACAAAAGTTGTGACATGGCTAAAGATCTTATCACAGTCACTTTACCGAAAAGAGTGAGATTCCTCATTTTCCAGAGTTGTAAAACWGATTTAAATTTTTCAAAAACCCTGTCATAATTAAACTTTTTCAAATATTGCTCATTGTGCGAAAAGAAGACACCCAATATTCCTATGCCTTGTTGATGGAAATCTATTTTCTTTTTTATGATACCTGGAAGTAAGCTTGAATCCATTTTGGGCCCTACCCAACCAGCCTCCGATTTGTTTAAATTCAACTCAAGCGACGAAAATCTTTTGAAATTGTACAATACTTTTAAACATTCATTAAGTGATTCGATATCCTGTAAAGTGAAAGTAGCATCATCTGCAAACATAACTAATTAAATCTCGATTCCTTTATCCCATTCAATTCCCTTTATAGTCGGATTGTCTCTTATAAGCTGGGCTAAAATCTCAATCACTTGCATTGATGGTAGAGAAAAAAGTATTTGAAAAGGTTTGTTAAATGTAGAATGTTGAGGGTCAAGTGTTTTTGGACTGCATAATACCAAGTATCAGTACCTATTTTATGTTCTCAAAGTACAATAATATTAGTTTTCAGATTATTTGAAGTCTAAGAATGAAATTGTAGTATCTATTGTTTTTCTTAGATTCGCCTGAATGGGTCACACCCATGAAGATATTGATGCTTTTTTTGGAGTTTTTTCAAAGCACTTGGGGAAGTGTGATACATTTACAATTGAAGGTAAGATGACATAATGACTTAAATTATGTTTGGTGGGAAGTCATGGCAGTAGAGCAATTTTTTTTAATTGGTGAAATAAAAACTAAATATATGGTTCTTAACAATTAGTTACTATTTTGTACTTTAAATAGATAATAGCACTCCAGCGAATCAACTTATAGCTCAATATTCAGGAGACATTAAATACACAAGAATCAAGTTTTTCATTTTTTTTTTATTGATATCACAGTACAAATGAAGTAAAGAATAAATGTCTTAATTTGATTCTTGTGTATTTAATGTCTTCTGGGTATTGGACTATAATTATTTGATTCACTTTAGTGCTATCATCTATTTACGTACAAAATAGTGACTAATAATGTTAATTTCACAGATTAAATAAAATTGCTCTATATTTATAGGGTAAAACAATTAAGTAATGCAGTAATGTCAATGACTTTCTTTCACTGATGCGATCAACTATTCATGGTAATGATTTATTAATAATGTTTTCTTGTAATTAGATTTGCGTGTAGCATTAGAATCATGCATGAAGAATCCACTACCCAAATCATTCCACTACCCCATTCTTATGATATTCGTGAATGGATATCAGGGTTTTCACAACCAATGAGGGATCATACCAAACCAAAGTGCTTTAAATTTGTGCTTAATGACAAAGGAAAGGCTGTCATGCACTACAGAAACTGGAGTCATGAAGAGTGGTTTGGCCCTTTTCTTGTCTTTGAGGTAAAGATTTGGTGTAT